TAAAATTGTAGAACAGGCAACAAATGTTAAGAAAAAAAAGGTGCAGAATATTTCGAACTCTTTTACAAGGATTCTCCTGGGCCCTGGTACAAAAACTGCAAGCTCTCGAGGGAGGCTATAGTCACCGTAAATCGCGCTAGAGCCAATCACTACCACATTGGAGCCTCCTTGTCAAGAGTCGGAATAATTAACGACCCAAGCTGTTCTTGTGGAGCAGAAAGTCAAAACTTTGAACATATCTTATGGCACTGCCCAAAATATGAGCAACAAAGATGTAAATTAACGAATCGATTGAAAAAATCAAGATGCACTTTGCCTTTTACCGCTGAGAAATTTTCAAATGTCAAAGACCTTAAATATATTTAAGAAATATGTAAATATCTAAAGGATTGTGAATTACAGATATAAATTATAGATGAAAGATAAGAGAATATAATGTATAGAACTTAATATTGATGACAGTGTAAATAACCCAATTAATGGGTTACGCCACTGTAAAAAAAATAATAAAAAAATTGGGGAATAGGTATTTCAATTTAAAGACGATTCTTTTCTATTAGGCCGGCTTATAGTAAGCCTTCTTAAAGTAGCTCTACCCTTCCGGTAAATTCAAAGATTACTGAAAACTGCAAAAAACGGTAGAAAACTCGATTAGATTCGGAATTCTATTTTTTTTCTCAATTTAATTATCGTTTTGGTTTCTCAAAGAAGAAATGTTTAAAAATCACGATTTAACCCAGTGTCTTTTGTGAAAATCAACATTTCCATTGTAATCAAAGATTAAAATCTGAATTTTTTTTCATTAGATGTGAAAAAATCCAGAATTTTTTTGACACCACATAAAAAATAATCCACCGTTTTGCAAACAAGTTTTATTATTTATTTCTAAGAGGGAAATGTTTAAAAAAATATCAATATTTTGTGAAATTTCATTTAGATAATACTGACTGGGTATGAATTTTTTCAAATTTTTTCCATGCAATAGAAAAATTTAAAACTGAAAATATCCAAAAGTACAGCGTAGCCCGGTAAAATGCAATATGCAGAATTGTGTTCCTCTTAAAGTGATGACTTCAATTCCCGGAAGTCATTGGAGTTAATAATCTATCAGAATTGGTAGTTAAAGAACTAATTATCTGTTATTAATGGTAATATTGAGTTATTTGTAATGAACCAATCGATACGATGAAAATATTCAGTTGCATCAAACAAACGACTTCCTGGGCATCCGAGCCGGAAATACCTCTTCTTCACAATTAGAGTGAAGCATCGATGGAACCGTTGGGTGGTAATGTCCATTAAATTTAGGTTTATTACGCCATTAGTGTCTACGATAATTCACGGGGAATCATGGTACATTAACAATAGTATCTCGCATTCATTCATCAGTATATCTCTCATCAGCGCTTGAATTATTATCATACTTTTAGCACATAAATCCTGTATAGTTGTCTCTAACATGCACTGCCTCTATTCTCTTCATTATCATCCAATTGAAGTGGAAGCAACTGGAGATAATAATCGTGTAATGCTTCTGCCATTATTTATAGGAGAAGTACATGGTGTTACACGAGTCAATTCTATTTGAAAAAGATTCTCATTGTAAATAAAACTCGAGCTGTTTTTATTCAGCGAATAAATTGAGAATCCTGAAGGTATCAGAGAGGAACAATTTCTTCCATTTCTTCTTTTCTTAACAATGCCAATAATTAATGGTCATTGACTCGAATGTTTTCAGACGTTTTGTCTTCAACTCATTTTAATGAATCCCACGTATTAAGAAATTCCATGGAATAGTTCTATTTGTTTTTTCTGCGATGTTATTTAATTTTTATGGATCATTATTCAATTTTTCTAGGTGATCTTTCGATACATATTTCACGGCAAAAAGTTAATTGATAATGATTCCTCCTCACAACTCACTCTGTTATACAACAATTCATCCAAGTTTTTTGTAATGAGAAACAAAAGAAAATAAAATGCAGTGCAAAATAGATTGGAAAATTCCTGCCCAAGATTTTTCATAGAAAAATCATACAATCATTCCTTGTTTGGGAATTGGTATTGCATACTTCAGAAACTCGGAAATTTGAGAATCAGTACAAAAAATCTTGTCCCGGGCAGTTGCGATGGGGTATTTTAAAATGGGCAAATTTGATGTGGAGAAGTTTGAAAAGGTAAATTTTGAAGTGGCAAAGTTTGAAGGGACGAATTTTGAAGTGGACGCCTCGGAAGTGGAGAATTTCGAAGTAGAGAATTTTGAAGTGGAAAAGTTTGAAGTGGATATTTTTGAAGTGGGGATTTTTGAAGGGGGAATTTTGAAGTAGGAAAGTTTGAAGTGGTCATGATTCAAGTGCCGAATTTTGAACTGGAAGTGAAAAATTTCCAAGATGGAAAATTTTGATGCTGGGAACCTTAAGTTGTCAAGTTTAGAATTCAACTTCATTTTCCATAACCCAGATACATGTGAATTCAAGATTGATGGCCCAACTTGAAGGCCCCTGGTAAAAAAAACCATCAGGATATGCAGATAAATGTGGATCGATAATGAAGGGTCAAGAAAGAGACACAAGATCCAAAAGTAGAGGATGAGCCTACTACCCTGATCTTCAATTAATCACCAAAATAATTCCATTTGAGAATGCTTACACACAAGAATGAATCCTCCTATAGATTCAACTCGTTGCCTTTGGGAACATCCGAAGATGTTCCAACATTCTTTCTGGAAAATTTTCTAGAAAAAAGAAGCCTTCCGAAGAATCTTTTGGGGTCACCAGAAAGCTCTTTGAGATCGAAGATTTCTTGCGAAGATTTTTGGGAGATCTTTCAAAGACAGAAATTTTTCTACTCGGGGCGTCGAATCAATTAGAATTCAATATTTGTTGTAGTAAATATCCCAAATATTTAAGATAACAGCGCCCAATGTTGACCCCGAAGTTTCAAGATAACACGACAATGAATGATGGGATATATTCAATTGAAATCAGACCAAAATGAGTAATCGATTCCGAAGAAGGGCGAACACGAAGAAGCGTTAGACCCGTAAGTATATAAGCAGAGCTGATTAAATGCCTCCAAGTCAGACAGTTGGAATGACTGCAGGACTAATTAGCCACACAGTTCGTGATTGCACGCAAATGAGAGAAGACCCTATTTTACCCCGGTTACCGTTACAAATTCAACTTGATATCCCCCTGGGTGTACGTACCTCTGTGGGAGTTTAATGTACTTAATGTGTGTACGTGTAGTTTACGAGATGGACTGGCTCACGTGCTGGTGAAAGATCGGAGTTGGGGTCATGACTGGAGGGTTGTGTATATGCACATCAAGGAATTCCAGATCCTGAAGACTCAGTCTCGAGGCAAAAAGCGAAAGATACTTTTTTCTTCTTTTACGATTGTATAAAATTACGAATGCGCACGCAAACTTATGGTTATCATAATCAACTTTGAGATTAATATTTTTTACTCTCTTTGCTTACATTTGTAAGGAGAATGAAAAAATTGTGAGAGTGCAAGTTATGACATGTAGTTTTGTCTAGATCGGGTAAAGTGACTTTAGTTTATAGAACAGTAGTAGGCTGAAGGATCTACACTGATAGCAGTTTGCCCCATTCCCCACTAGCTTTCATTTTGCTCCAGATTCTTTTTTTAGAAAATGGCTCATTGCGTGAGAACTGATTCCTTAAAATTGGTAATATCTATCTAATCAACTCACACTATCTCTACATAACTAGGGACAACTTGTTTCGGCTAAAATTCATTCGTGTGGATAGTAATAAGACTTAAGATGTAGGTGAAAATCGCAAATTTTCGAAGATTATTCAATATTGCCGAGTTATACTTCTCGGGAAACTTCAAGTGTGATCAGTTTACTCACTGTTGAGATACTGCAATGCAACAAAAATAGATTTTTCTGAATATCTGGAATTTCAAAGGAGCAACAAGACTTGGCTGCTGTTCGCAGGCACATTATCAGTAAAATCGATTGAAATGGAAAAAATAGCACTGATAGGAAAAAAAAAGAACTTTCAAGGACATTCTAGTTGTAATTTTCAGGAGAGCTGTGAGCTCAATGGAACTCAAATTTCACTGAAAAGTTAATCGAATTCTAAATTTTTTCACACCAGAAAGACGAGAATTCCTCAACTTACATGAATTTGCAATAAAAATATAAATACTCAGTACCAAATTACGCTGAATATATTCGCCTAAATTTTCCTCATTCCTACCAATTCTTATGGAATAATTTACCTGAAATTAACAGTTCCAGTTGATTTTTGCTTTAAAGATATTCAAGTACTTCGGCAATTTTTTCAGACATCAGAGCTTTCATTTGAGCCCCATTTGACCCTAAGTTTCCGGCCACTTTACAAGGATTTTACTTTTTAAACTTTGCAGGTTTGAATTTGAATCTCGATATTGAATCGTTAAAGAACATTTTTAAAATCTGAAGAAAAATAACAAAATTTATTTTCGGAGGAAGATCGATGAAATAATTAAAAAATTACAATGTTTGACAAATCTGAACATTTTCTATAAGTAATTAATAAACAATCAATTTTTCACCATAAAAATCATTTGTTCGAAATCGTTCAAAATTATTCACATTCAGAAGGTTACCGAAATCGATTTCATGCCTACAAAAATAATTTTTTCAAAAGTTTAAACAATTTCCATTATTTATTTATAAACAACGAATGGTTAAAAAAATAATAATTTTGGCCGAAATGGAATTTCAATGATGCTGAATATTCATGATTATTTTTCAAGTTTTTCTCACACAATTTAATTGACCAATTTGATGATTGAAAATGGTTGAATCTATACTGTGGTCTGTACCAAACTGTAAACGATACTTGGATATTCTTAAATTATGAAATCTTAACGGCGAAATTCCTCTAAATTTCAGTGTAATTGTCACTTGATAAAAGTTTCCAAGAAGTAACACTGACACTTAACGTCTTATTTGCCAAGTTTATAAATAAAGTATGACTTTACCAGATGATATTTGATTCCCCGAAATTTCATTATCCCCCGGCTGCAATTTCACTTCCATCTCACGTAATCGTGAATGTAGATCACGTGTGTGTAGAAAAAGAAAGAGAGTGCTGGAGAGGGCGATGAGGGCAACGAGCTCGCTGGTTCTAGAAATATACGGAAAACAAAAATACAAGCATGAGTATGTGTATTAGAATTGACAAAACTGGTACTCGCTCTTTCGTTCGAGAATAAATAATACTGTGGCGTGCTTGGGGATACCCTCAACTGAGTAAACAGTGCGTTTATAATTGCTTTCCCACTGGTGACAAGTATTTTACGACTGACCCGCTTCCACAATGCATATCATGGAGATTTTATCGTGACTCGCAACAGCATAATAAAAGAATTATTTTAATTAAATATATAAATATTTATGTAAGGCGGTCTTCGTGCGGGATCGAATAATCAAGGGAAAAAATTGGTACTACCGTAATTCTATTTTAAAGATCAAGTGAAATTCATGTCTCAAAGAGAAAAGTCATATCATTTGGCCGTGTAGTTGTACAGTTGATGGTAACAATCATCGAAGACTTTTACGGGAAATGAGAGTCTTCCGAATAATAGATGAGAGAAAACATCAAAAAAATCTAGAGAAGTCATTAATGAAAGGCAGAAATGATTCTCGATATGAACTGCATATCAACGATCGGGATCAGCATTGCAGTAAAATCTGCAAGACTGATCCCTCCCGTTGCTATGCAACAAAACATTCGGGAAACATCCGATAATTTTGAAGGTCTTGGGGTATTATAGCTGATAATTTTCCTGTAGCCTGTCAATTCTCTTCTACGAATTTGACAGATATTCCTCACACTTTGGTGAAATGTGTCCCGTAACCCCGAACACCGCACCCTGATCGGCCAAAATCAGAATTGAAGAAGTTGTCCTCCGAATTCCCCTCGACCTTCAAAATTCATCAGATATTTCCCTCAAGTTTTCCTGCATATCAACTCGCGCTGCGCGCTCGGGATTTTAATCTGCAAAACTGATACCTCTCGTTGCTATGCAACAAAACATTCGGGAAATATTCGATAATTTTGAAAGTCTTGGGGTATTTTAGCTGAAAATTCAATGAAATTCTAAATTTTTTAACAGCATTGAAATGAGCACTTCTGGACCTGTTAGAATTTTCAATTAAATCATGAATATTCAGCTCCAATTTGCGATGAATTTTCATCAATTCATTGACAATGTGATAACATAATCACCAGAATTTTCCTGAGTTCTACTAATTTTCAGAGAATAATTGAACTGAAATTTACAGTTGTCATAATTTTTTCCATTAAATTCTGGCTTTTCAAGTACGAAATCACTTCAAATTTCAGGGGAACTAAAATGTGATGAAAAATTCCGAAAAATATACCGGAAATTTCAGCCAAAATTTTACTAGTAAATTTTTTCAAATAAGGCTTGTTTCTAGAGATCTTTTCATTCAAAAATCTAGGAAAGATGTTGATTGTGCCTCCAAAACTAAATAATTTTTGGAAAATAATAAAAAATGCTGATGAATAATTTTACTACTCGTAATATTCATTTGAGGTATCAACAACGATGAATTCTGCGGAAATTCGCTGAACATGTCCGACAATCTTGTGACTCGAAAATGATTGGCGATGGTTCCATTACGCGATGCGATGTTTCCATTATTTCTGAGACATTCTGAGTGCCATTTTTTCTGTCCCACACAAAATGTTTCAATGATATGAAGAACTTTTTCTCTCTATACAATTTTTATATGGAAATTTCTGTGATCCTCCTTGAACAGGCAGTACAATTGTCCTGAAATTGAGTGATTTCTTTTCATAGCAACATTCCTTCAACATTAAAAACGAATAAAATTCTGCTGAAATAGGAAAAAAATTTCCCTATGGAAATTTTACTAAAGAACGATTCCGACTCTCGGTAAGATCATCCTATAAAAATTTTCACAGCAAAACTCCGTGGAAATTTCTCATACCAAATATAACTTCAACTTCATTTCCCGTAAATGCCAGACGAATGAAAATAATGCGTTCCACCATGAAGATAAAGGTGCAATCATGATTGTAAAATTCCACCTCCAGCTAAAAGCGGGGGGGGGGGAACCATTATTTCAAAGTCAAGACATTTCCGTGTCGAACGGACAAACGTGTAAAGATTGCACGTTCCGTTAAGGTGGAGTATACCATATACACTATGGGAATATACGCACTGGCCACTGTATCGAATTAATCTTTTATTTACTTCTGACTCTGGTTGACGACTTACCTCTTTGGAACCGCGAGCCTCCTTTGACGCCACACATTGTCCTTCACCATCATAATCACCACTTCAATGGGATTAACAATAACTTATTTCAATTTATCACACACAAGTGAACGTACTCATTCAATCCTTTAAATGTCCGAGTAGTTCACCGATCAACGAGACATCACCATTTCGAATTCATAAATTATCGATCGTTCAGGAACAATAGTAATTGCATCCCCACTGGGTCCACCCGTTGAGATGCAATCAATCTTTCCTTCAAAGATTTACTTTCACGTTCGAAATTGAGTAATAAATTTTCCTAGGACAAACTCGACTGTCACTTCATGATATCATCATCGCAATGAAAATTTCCATCTCAAGGAAATATTCGAAATACGCATTCGTCTCAGGTTTTATCAGTCGGAGTTTAGAAAAACCGTCGAAATTTGATGTTGGATCTCCATCAGTGGATGGTCAACGTGTGACTGGAGTTCCGCATCGCTCCTTCATTCGTGGTAGACTACGAAGCGAGACTCCTACTACCTCGTGGAGGTCGACTCTCGTTGTGCCGCAGTTCAGAAAACGAGGCGCCTCCACCACCGAACAAACCGGTGTATATGTGTGACGGCCCCGTTACGAATCCTCCTCGTACCCCATCCAATTCTACTCCACATTCGTCGCTTCCTCCTCCAATTCTTCCCCACTCTCATCATTAATTTGTTGCCTCTTTTTTCACTCCGGTCTATTCTTATATTTTTTTTTCCATCTCAGTTGCATCCTTTCACCTCGTGGCTGCCACGCGACTGTGGGCTTCCATAGCGTGTGTTCATTGAGGATGGGGGAGAAAAAATATTCATGGGGAAAATATTGTCCTGAAAGATTATGTGTGACTTTCCATACTTGGAGAACTGTAAACATTAGGTAGAAATGGAAACTTGAGGCTTTACCTTATTGGGTATTTGACATTGTTTTGGTCTCGTTGGCTTTCAGTTTCGAAATTGCGAAATTTGACAATTCTGCATTATGCGATGGAGAGGTTTTCGCATGTGACTGCAGACTCCATTTTAGTTTTCAGTAGGAAAGTTATAATTTTGTTCTTTTTAACTTCCCGACCCGAAGGGAGGAAGTTATTGTAATGACCCCGAAAATCGAATGTGGAAATATAAGAATTTCTCCACGTTTCATGACCTTTGGAACCACTTCTGACCCTTTTCAGGTACCTGTCTGTATGTGTGGATGTGTGTATGTGTGTGCGTACGTCTGTGACAAAAATTTTGTGCCACGATTCCTCCTGAACAAACGATGCGATTTGACTTTTTTTTTTTAATCGCTGTATTTTCATGTGACTTGAACCTGATTAGATTATGGAGACGATCGTCTCAGCGTTTCTCCAGTTTTTTCCAAAAAACATTTGGAAAAAAGTCGAAAATTAGCGTTTTTTTGTAAACGAGACCATTTCTCCGTGCATAACGATGCGATTTCAAGTTTTTTTTGTTAGAAACGATGAATCTTGATATAACGCACAAATCATGGAATACTGGAAGACATTTAATCAGCAGTTCACTAGCTTTTTTCGAAATCGATATACATTCAAGAAACAATTTTACTTTTCTGATAAATTACATCTTTTCTCGATGCGGAATACGGCGATGTGTGTGCATGGGAGTGTGTGTGAGTGCGAGCACGCGCACGGATTTTCTTGTCTTCTATGGGTATTTCCTCGGAGAAATGTGAGAAAAAGATTGAATAAATACATAATAAAAAAATTAATGAAAGAAAAAACAAATGGTCGGGAAGTTATTGGTGCGACCCGTAATGGGTCACATCCAATTCCACCAACCCCTACCGGTCATACCCTAAAGAGGGAGCGCGCGAAGCGCGCGACCGGGCCTGATTTTTTCAATTTTTTTCATTTTAAGCTTTCCCGTGTAGCCGATTTGGCTTTTTACGGTCCCATTCCACCCCTTTGCGATTTCATGGGTCGACTTTCCCCTCCATCACATGGTATTCACCCCGCGAGCTGCCCTCCGTGTACAGGCTCGCTTGCACCCAAAAAAAAGTATTGATTCAAGTCGACGTCGGCTTGATTCTAGTCGATTTTCGAGTTGATTCAAGCCGAGTGACTCGGACTGCGCCAGTCTGGATTCCGGGTGTGATATGAATCGAAATTTCTTTAGCATCGAAATACCTCACTTTTTCAATTACAGCATGTTGTTTCAATATTTTCCAAAGTTTTACAACTTCGCGATTGATTTGTGTCCTTCATGTTTTGCATGTGCAAAAATTTACGGTTGTTTTGAAATTTAGAAATTTGAAGAATCGTTTCTTTCCTTACAAGTCAACAAGACAAAGAGTTGTTTTCACGTTTTGATGTAAATTATGATGCTTAAACAAACACGTGCCAACTTTCCCATATTACAAATTTTTCAGTTTTTCGCAACGGGCGGAGGAGTGGTCGAGTGGAGTCTGTTTTTGCTCGTGGGTCGAGTATGGAAATTACCACCGTGTATACTAGTGTATCCAACATGAATACACTACTTCTTCAGGGTTCATTGCTTCGAAGAATAATAACTTGGGTTGAGAGTCTGTTGATCTTCCTCTTGCATTCTAAAAAAAGTACTTTTGTTCAAGATCCGACACTCAGTTCAAGCATAAAAGATGCTTGTACTCTGTGTCGAGAGTTTTCCGGTACGCCAAAGTGAATTCAGAAGCCGAGTTATGCATAGAACGGGCAAATATGGGATTTGTAATTTGCAACACCTATCTAATAACTATAATTTTATTTTAACTTCATCACCTCAAATAAAATTGTTGACGACCGCCTAAGGCCAACTCACTTTCATCTAATTATTTTAACCTACCTAATAAATTGATTGTTGTAGGGGAGAGGGACATCCCCCCCCAACCGCCCCCCGCAACCCCCCGTTGACTGCTGTTGGGGGACATTTGACCTCTTTCCCAATCGATATTTGACCGATTATATTGAAAAAAAACTTCAGAAGCTGGCTTATTGCCAAAGCTGGAGTGATTATTGTCCAAAATAATTGAGATGCCAGACCCATAATCAATGAAGATTTTTATCGCCTGGTGGCATAATATACTATTTTTGTGATAAAAATAAACACACAAAACAAAAGTCATTCGAAATCTCATTCGGGTAATATGAAAATCGCTCCATGTATTCCTGAAAATTTTTCATCTATTTTTCCATATGAAAAAGAAAGGAAAAAGAATCAGAAATGGATAATGGGCTAGAAAATGATTTTTTTTTTCTTCATGTCGGCTGGAACTTCAAATCACTTTTTTTTTCTTGAAGTATTAGAGGAATATCAATATTTCAGAGACAAGAGATTTAAAAAATGCAAAAAAGTGGGCGGGAAAAACTAAAAAAATAAATTTTTCAATGTCTCCGGGAAATTTTTAAGTCGATTTTTTCGAATAATGGAAGAATACCCATAAATTCGATGTCTATGCTTGTCTTTTGATAGAATGAATAGAATTATATAAATGACAATGAATTGTAAAAATCACGAATTGGAGACTGAAGTTTTTTACAAAAGGATCATCGGCTAGGAAATCGAGAAAATTTGTTTTTCTTCATTTGTGTCGGTGGAAACTTGGGATCACGGTTTTTCCTTCGACTATGGGCCAGATATGAATATTTCGGAAGTTTATGATCTAATTTTTAAGAGAAGAAATGAACAAAATGCCAAAAAACGTAAGCGTGACGAAATAAAACAAATAATTTTTCAGTCTCCAGAAAGTTTTAAAATCAACACATTTTTTCGAATAACGGAAGAATACCCATAAATTAGTTTCTGTCCTTGTCTTTTGATAGAATCAATAGAATAAATGGCAGAAATGGAGAATTGGAGACTACAAATTTTATCGAATTATTATTATGTAATAATAATAATGTAATAATTATCAAACATTTGCCAAAAATGTTGATTTCATGGAATGGCAGATCTATTTTTTAATGTAGTAAATCGTGTAAACAGTCTGAGTGAACGAATTTCCACGCTTAGAACGTGTTGACATCCTGGATAGGCGGAGTGGGTACTTACCAGCATTATTGAGCTAGTCGCCTAACTGGTCTCAATCCCTTCACGATCTCCATCGATTATGTATCCTTTCCTCACGGAACATCGTGACATCGTATCTCCGCATTAGCCAACAATTTCGTTATAATTCACAATTTTTTTTCCAAGAATGAAGATCATCTTGCGCTGAGGAAAAGGATGGAAGGAGCCTAACGGTAAACTCATTCGCAATGTTCCATTGTGCATTTTCCAGTTGCGACAGAATTTAAAGCATCACTGGTAGGACCTTCCATAATGTGGTACTATATCCCATTCTTGGAAGAAAGGTGAGCACAGCTATTGGACCGTGACACATGGAACTTATCTCCTTGACATTGAGGCCTTCGGGGGAACATTGAGCAAACTGCGAGCCGAGGTGACACTGATTTATCTAGTGTTTACCGTGAGGACTCGATGGGAATGATTCGGATAATTTGACGAGTGTCGAAACAATTAATCTTCGTAACGATTGAAGTGAGGGACTGTCGGAATCCATGCACAAAACGTCTCTTGTCTCATGGAAAGGCTGTAGAAGTTGAACTACGTTATTTTTTTGTTAAAACTTTAGTTGTGTGACTTTGATAAAATACTCTGATTTAACATCAATGAATGGAAGAGAATTAAGAGAGGGAACGCTGAGGTCTCGAGCTGGTGATCGAAGTAATATCCGAGGAATGAAAGAATTCAAGTCAGAAAGTAATTTTTTCGTACTGTTTTTCCGGGGGGATAGTCGGTCAAGGATCACAAGGGTCAAAGTGTCCGATCTTGGATTTTTGGCCAAAATCGAATTTTTTAGCCGGGTGAACGTTGATTCCAACTATTTAAGCGCCGGGCTTGTCAAAACTGTCAAAAGTATGTTGAAAAAGTGAAACCTTAGAAACCGTTTTTTTTGGCTCCAGCCAAAGGGTCAGATTTTCGGGTTTTCCAGGGCAAGTGGATTTTCGACAAAATCGAATTTTTTAGCCGGGTGAACGTTGATTCCAACTATT